TATGAACAGGCATTTCACCAAAGAAGACATTCAGGTGGCTGACAGACACATGAGGAAATGCTCACAATCATTAGCCATTAGAGAAATGCAAGTCGAAACTACAATGAGATACCATCTCACCCCGTCAAGGCTTGCATTAATCCAAAAAACACAAAATAATAAATGTTGGAGAAGTTGTGGAGGGCTGGAACACTTATACACTGTTGGTGGTAATGTAAAATGGTACAACCACTTTGGAAATTGATTTGGCGCTTCCTTTAAAAGCCAGAAATAGAAGTACCATACGATCCAGCTATCTTGCTTCTTAGAATATATCCTAGAGAAATAAGAGCCATCACACTAATAGATATATGCACACCCATGTTCATTGCAGCACTGTTTATGATAGCAAAAAGATGGAAACAACTGAGGTGCCCATGAACAGACGAATGGATAAACGAATTATGGTATATTCACACAATGGAATACTACACAATGATAAAGAACAACAATGAATCTGTGAAACATCTTGTAACACGGAGGAATCTGGAAGGCATTATGCTGAGTGAATTCAGTCAGTTACAAAAGGACAAATATTGTATAAGACCACTATTACAGGAACTCAAGAAAAGCTTTAAACACAGAAGAAAATATTCTTTGATGGTTACGAGGGTGGGGAGGGAGGGAGAGGGGTATTCACTAGCTAGGTAGTAGATAAAAATTATCTTAGGTGAAGGGAAGGACAACACACACTACAGGGGAAGTCAGCACAACTGGACTAAACCAAAAGCTAAGAAGTTTCCTGAATACAACCAAACACCTCGAAGGACAGAGTCGGTGGGGTTGGGGTCTTGGGACCATGGTTTCAGGGGACATCTAGGTCAATTGGCATAACAAAGTTTATTAAGAAAATGTTCTGCATCCCAGTTTGGTGAGTGGTGTCTGGGGTCTTAAAAGCTAGCAAGCAGCCATCTAAGATGCATCAATTGGTCCCAACTCACCTGGAGCAAAGGGCAATGAAGAACACCAAAGACACAAGGAAAGTATTAGCCCAAGAGACAGAAAAAGCCACATAAACCGGAGACTGCATCAGTCTGAGACCAGAAGAAAGATGGTGGCCAGCTACCACCAATGATTGCCCTGACAGGGAACACAACAGACAGTCCCTGTTGGAGCAGGAGAAAAGTGGGGTGCAGAACTCAAATTCTAGTAAAAAGACCAGACTTACTGGTTTGATTGAGACTGCAGGGACCCTGGAAGACATGGCCCCTGGACTCTCTGTTAGCCCAAAACTGAAACCATTCCCGAGGCCAACTCTTCAGACAAAGATTAGACTCGACTACAGGGCATAAAATGATACTCATGAAGAGTATCCTTCTTAGCTCAAGTAGATACATGTGACTAAACAGAAAGCTTCTGTCCAGAGGCAAGATGAGAAGGCAGAGAGGGTCAGGAGCTCGTTGAATGGACACAGGAAACCCAGGCTGGAAAGGAGGGTGTGCTGTCAGTATAGGGAGAGCAAGCAGGGTCACAAAACAATGTATGTATAAATTTTTGTATGAGAGACTAACTTGAATTGTAAACTTTCACTTAAAGCACAACAATAAAAAAAAAAAACACCCTTAGGAAGAGCAAAACTAATGACCTTCACAAGATCAGTTTCAATAAAAATAACAAGTTAAAAAAGAATTTTATTAAAAATGAAAATGAAAAGACAAACCACTGACTTGGAGAAAATATTTGCAAAACACATACCTGATAAAGGACTTGCATCCAAAATATACAAAGGACTCTTAAAATTAAAACAACAAGAAATGAAACAACCCAATTACAAAATGGGCAACAGATCTGAACACACATCTCACCACAGAAGGTATACATATGGCAAATAAGCTTATCAAAAGATGCTCAATATAACATGTCATTAGAAAATTGCAAATTAAAACAACATTACACATCTATTAGAATGGATAGAATCAAAAACACTGACAACACTAAACGCTGACAGGGATGTGGAGCAACAGGAACTCCCATTGATTGCAAAATGGTAAAGCCACTTTGGAAGACAAGTCTGGCAGTTTCTTACAAAGCTAAACATAGGCTTACCATACAATTCAGCAGTCAGATTCCAAGGTATTTACCCCAGTAAGCTGAAATCTTGTCCACATAAAAACCTGCACACGAATTTTTATAGCATCTTTGCTCATAATTGCCAAAAATTGGAAACAACTAAGATGTCCTTCAAAAAGTAAAGGGACAGACAGTCCCATAAAACAAAATGAGACTAACGGGGCACAACAGTCCAGGGACAAGGACTAGAAGGCAGAAGGGGATAGGAAGTTGGTAATAGGGAACCTAAGGTTTAGAAAGGATGGTGTTGACATGTTGTGGGGGTGTTAACCATTGTCATAAAATAATATGTGTACTAACTGTTTAATGAGAAACTGTTTGTTCTGTAAACCTTCATCTAAAGTACAAAAAAAATTATAAAAAAGAAAGTAAATGGATAAACAAATTGTGGTACATCCATACAATGGAATATTATTTAGCAATAAAAAGAAATGAAATATCAAACCATGAAAAGACAGAGAAACCTTAAATCCATATTGCTAAGTGAAAAAAGCCAGTCTGAAAAGCTGCATACAGTATGATCCCAACTATTTGACATTCTGGAAAAGGCAAAACTATAGATACAGTAAAAAGATCAGCGGTTTCCAGGGGCTCAAGGGGAGGGTAGGAAGGATGAATAGGTGGAGCAAACGGTTATTTTTAGGGCACTGAAACTATTCTGTATTTATTATAATAGCGGACACATGACATTATGCATTTGTCAAAACCCATAGGACGGTACAACACAAAGAAAAAGTGAACCCTAATGTAAACTATGGACTTTAGTTAATAATAATGTGTAACAAAGAGTGCTACAGGAAGGCAAGATGTTAATAATAGGAGAAAAGGGGCATATGGGAACTGTACTTTCTGCACAATTTTCTCGAAATCTAAAACTGCTTTTAAAATAAATAAATAATAACCAAATCCACTGCCGTCGAGTCCGACTCATAGCGACCCTACAGGACAGAGTAGAACTGCCCCCATATGAGCGGCTGGTGGATTCGAACTGCCGACCTTTTGGTTAGCAGCCCAGCGCTTAACCACTGCACCACCAGGGCTCCTTAAAAATAATATATATTTAAAAAATACAAGGTCATATCTCTCTCTAATAATTTCTACAGGAATAAATACAGGCGGCTGCTAATATCTGTTTTCTCCCAAAATCAACAAGCCGACATTTTGTAAGCTCTCTTCATCTTTTTCTCTTGGGAAATATATCAGTGCCCTATAGCGTCCAAAATGCACCCTGCATAACCGTTTATTTTCAGAATGAATGTAATAATTCAGTGCTAGAGGTAATTTTTAAATTAAGTTCTCAGGCATTGGGTCCTGGGCAGCAATATATTGTTATCGTACAAATCACAGTCTAAATACTCCTTTATTTTTGCATGTTTTCAGGAGTAGGAAATACACACACAGTTTTCTAGGGCACACATGGGGTCGCCATGAGTCGGAATCAAATCACAGGCAACTGGGTTTTTGGTTGGTTTTGTTTTTTTTTTTTTTACAACTTTAGTCCAGTTTTACTGGTACTCAGATAATAATCTCCTTCATATCTTTATCTCTTACTGCAAATAACGATTTGGGGTTTATTTATAATTATAATAAACCCAAACCAAACCCACCACCGTCGAGTCTATTCCAACTCACAGGGACCCTACAGGACAGAGCAGAGTTGCCCCCACAGGATTTCCAAGGTTAGAAACCCTAACAGTCCTACTCTTTGGTGGTGGTGGGAATTTTTCCGGGGAGTGCCTGCCTGTGTAACAACTGTTCAATCCCTCGCATTCTAACAGCGCCAAGAAGCCCCCAAAGCGACCCCACGCTAGCCCGTGCACCAAAGGCGTCTACACGTTGCCATCTACCGCACATTCGGAGCGGCAAGGGATCAGACGGGCTGCCACCGTCCAGGGCGCTCTGCTCCCCGTTTGCCTTTACTGGTGATTTGGAAAGTCACTCACTTTGTACAAAGGCGGAGTCGCCCCTTCAAGGCATGGGAGCAGACTCAGCAAACGGTAGCCTCGGCGCTCGCCACCCTCCGGCCTGCACGTGGCGCTCGCGTCCTTCTGCGGAGCGGAGCCCTAGCGGTGGCTGCTTGCGCAGCAGCCCTTTCGCCGTTGCTCGCGCCCGGAAAGCTGCGCCGCAGCCCCACCCACTTGGGGGGTCGACCGCGGCGATTGGCGCGCGGCGGGGGCGGGACTCCGGGAGGTGGGCTGAGGGGGCAGGGCCTCGGAGGGGACAAAGGCCGGGAGGGGGAAAGATCCTTCCCAGCCGGCTGGTCCCAGGGTTTCTGCAGAGCCAGTGTCAGAATCCGAGACAGCTTGGGTCCAGCTAGGACTGCGAGTGTGCACGTGTGAGTTTGAGCGTGTGAGTGACTGCAGCGTCCCTCGCTCCTCGCCAGCGCCTATTCCCCTGCAGGTAACCGCAGGCTCAGAGGTGCGGCCCCTGGCTGTTGGGCGAGGCTCTGATTCCGCCGGTGGCCTGAGTGGGAAAAAGGAGGAAAGCTCAGATCTTGGGCACAGAGGGAGGGACTTAGCGGCGAGGCATGGGTGCAAGGAAGGGAAGAAATCCAAGCATTCGGTGTAGGAAAGGAAAATGGAGCGAAGGGGGGTGCGGAATTCTTGGGCAGGGGAGGGAGAAATCGGGCAACGGGGAAGTTGCATTGCAGTGACAAATGCAAGGTCAGATTTGTCCGCGGGGAGAAAAATCGAGCGGTGGGAGGTTGCAAGGACGAGTAGAGACTAAGTCTCGGGTGTAGGAGGAAGAAAGTATGCGGCAGGGGAAGCTGGATGCAAAGAAGTGTAGAAGCCTAGGACTGGGGCGTGGACGGCGAACTCAGACCATCCGGACTGGCCCTGCGACTCGCTAAATGTTTTCGGCCTGGGGGGCGTGGAGGGGGCGGAGCTCCTAGATACTGTCAGACGGGTGTTCGCTGGGCCAGAGTGAGGGTGGGGGGAAAACCCGCCACCGCCAGGATCTTGGGTGGTGGCAGAGGTGTTCCCAGCCCGCCCCCGGCTCCAGAGGTTTAAAAGTACCAGAGAGGTAGGGGGCAGATGTGGAGACCTGAAAGGAGGAACGAGCCAGCTTCGGTTGCAGCCCTCTTGCACAACGGCCATTAGGACGTCTGCAGGCCAAGAGCCTGCTGGTCACAGCGTCACCCAAGGGCGTCCAAACCCAGAGACCCGCCAACGGACGACGACCCGGGGACACTCCTACGGACGCACCCTCCAGTGTATGCTCTCAGAGATATTCGTGCTTCTTTGACCTTTATTTGAAGGTGCTTGAGGACCTAAAACTGCCCTTTGCCCTTCTAGATACACTGTACTTGAAATCAGATAAACTGAGCTGTGCGGCCCGTATTAAAAACTAACCAAATCCTTGTGAAAGGGTCGTTTTGTATGATAAGTCTTTCTACTCCCTTTTTTGTTCTGTTTTAGGAGATAGACTGCTTTCACCTGAGTCTGCAAGATTGCGAGGAGTTGGGCAGATTACAAGTCGATTTCACTGTAGAGGTGAGAATGCTTTTTCCCCCTTTATGTACTTCCTTTCATGTGGCAATACTGGTCCTGGGGCGGGGCGAGTTACTGCAAGGGAGTGAGTCAGGAATACTTGCAGCTGCTTCCGTGTTTCTTTTAGTCCCTTGTCTTTTCTGCAAGGGGCTAATTTTGCCCAGAAATTATTGTAGTCCATGAATTCAGATTTTTAAAAAAATCTGGCTAAAAACTCGGAGGTGATGAAAATAAAATTAAATAGGGTGAGTGGCTCTTCTTTCTTAAACTAATCTGTATTATTCCAGGTTTATTATCTGGAATTAGACAAATGTGTCAGGAGATTGGAATTAAGCTGCTTTCAGACTAAGTAAACTGGTGCCTGTTGGGCTTGGGAAAGTCTGTCCTTCTGAAGTCAGGGTTGGGGTAGAGAAAGAAAATCTGATGAGGAACAAACATGGAGAGGTGAATCCAGTGAGGCAGACCTAAAGCCCATCCCATGGAATTCAAATGTAGAAGAAGTAATATAATGCTGTACATTATACTGGAGCCCTGGTGGCACAAGGGTTAAGTGTTTGGCTACTAACCAAAAGGTGGGCAGTTCAAATCCACCAGCCGCTCCTTGGAAACCCTATGGGGCAGTTCTACTCTGTCCTGTAAGGTTGCTATAAGTCGAATTGACTAGACAGCAACGGCTTTGGGTTTTTTGTACATCATATTAAGCCAGAAGCCCTGGTGGTATAGTGGTTAAGAGCTGAGGCTGCTAACCAAAAGTTCAGCCATTTGAATCCACCAGACACCTGTTGGAAACTCTATGGAGCAGCTCTGCTCTGTCCTATAGGGGTCACTATGAGTTGGAATTGACTCAACAGCAATGGGTTTGTTTTTTGTTTTGTTTTTTTTATTAAGCCAGTGTCTACAATAAAGCTTCACCTTTTTGGTTAAAAGGAGGCAGATGTAATGGAAAAATAATTGAAATGTTTTAGTTGTACATTATGAGATGCCAAAAGAGTACTGCAGAAAATGCTTCAGCTGAGAAGGAAATAATGAACTAAAACTCCTATCACTCTAGACTTAAAATTTTAAATTACAGTTCTATAACTGTATTTGCCATAGAGGAAAAACTGCCAAGTCATAACTCTTGTATAATACTAGGCAGGAACATGGCCACCTGAATGTACCATCAAGACCAAGATAAGTTTGCTGCTTCTTATTTTGTTTTGTTTCATTTAAAATACAAGGACAGATGTGAAAGTGGGATCAAGCATGACTGAATCATATACTTTAAGCTATTCTGTAAGATAAACATGAAATTACAGGTGGGAATTAACCTTTAGAATACTCTCTCTGTATGGAAAACTGGGATTGGAACTGTATCCCAGGATGGTGCAATGGTTAAGCACTTGACTGCTAACCAAAAGGTTAACGATTCAATCTACCCAGTGGCACCTTAGAAGAAAGGCCTGGTGATCTACTTCTGAAAAAATCAGCCACTGCAGACCCTATGGAACACAGTGCTACTCTGACATACCTGGGGTTGCATGACTTGTTTTATTTTATAGTGCATGATCTTACTCAGAATATAAAAATCACAAGTTTCCAATAGCAGGCTGTGCCTCTGTTTTCCCCATTTTCTATTCTTTCGCATTTCTCTATATATCCTTAACGCAGTTGTATTTCACTGACTGATCTATACCAGTTTGTTCATTTCTTTTATTCTAGTTGAGCTCCAGATGGTTCCCCAGTAATGATCTAGGGAATCTCCTAAACCCTAGTAGGCAGGTGTCATGGATTGAATTGTGTCCCCCAAAAAATGTGTGTAGCACCTTGGCTAGGTCATGATTCCCAGTATTGTATGATTGTGTTATCTGATGTGATTTCCTCATGTGTTGTAAACTCTACCACTATGATGAGATTATATGTGATCTCCTCATGTGCTGTAACTTCTATCACTGTAATGAGGTTATACTGATGAGGTTGACAAGATCAGTGTCTTAATGCAATCTCTTTTGAGATATAAAAGAGAGAAGCAAGCAGAGACACATGGGAACCTCATACCACCAAGAAAGCAGTGCTGGGAGCAGAGCGCGTCCTTTGGACCTGAGGTTCCTGCGCAGAGAAGCTCCCAGACCCAAGGAAAGACTGAGGCATCACAAGGACCTTTCTCCAGAGCCAACAGAGAGAGAGAGCCTTTTCCGGGAGCTGACACCCTGAATTTGGACCTGTAGCGCACTGGACTATGAAGAAATAAACTTCTCTTAGTTAAAGCCATCCACTTGTGGTATTTCTGTTGGAGCAGCACTAGATGACTGAGACAGCAGGGTTCTTCTAGTTTTGCAAATTTGGGAGGTGAAAATAGACCTAGGGGATGGAATATATCTCGGCTTGTCATGGGGAACTGAGGCTTTCTGTCCACTAACCATTCCTTTTTTTTATTTAAAGGCCAAATTACTTTAGCCCAACTTTTCAAGAAAAACTACAGGCCTCTTACCTAATAAATTTTTTAAAGTCAGTTTTTCTGACTTTTCCATTCTTCAGCTATAACATAAGGAGATACAAGCAATTTGTAGTTGTGTTACACAATTTGTAGTTGTGTTGCTAAAAAAAAAAAAAAGTTTCCTTTAGAGCATCATGAGAAGGAACAGATGCGTTTAGCAGGCTCGGTGCCTCCTTGCCTCTCAAGGAACACTATCCTTCCTCTAAGCCTCAGAGTTTAGCTTCTTCCAAATATTTGTTCCACACTTGCCCTTTCTGGGAATCGGATTGATTTGCATTCACAACCATTTCTCAAAGTGGCTTCTCTTCCTGGAACAATTCTGCTGCCCTGTCCCCTCCACCAGCAACCTCCCTTGCCCGTGAGCAGCTACAGGGACAGTTGAGGAGTTGGGATATGAGAAATGGGAGGGGTCCTGCTGGGGTCCTGGGCAGTGGCTCTTCTATATACAAAGTTCACTAATTGAGAAATCACTTTTGTATTTAACTCCACATCCCCAATGTCTATTATTGTCTGTAAGAAAACATAGCTCCAGCAAGAATTATTGTTTCACTTTTAGACTTAATTAAGGTTTCCTTGAGCATGCATCACAAGTACCAGTTGAATCTCCTCAAGGGTAGCTATTTTAACCAAAACAGCTTCATATAAAGGGGAGATCCTAGTGCTCTGCTTTCTGAGACTAAGCCAACAGTCGTGAATAGAGGTTAATCAGGGTGTGTTACAGGGGTCAGGCTCTCCTACACTTTAGAGGGATGGTCCTAGCAAAATATGTTTCTTTTATTCATGTAAGTAAAGTGGGAAATAGTTTCCATCTTATAGGATTTCTGTGAGGGCTGACCTGGAAACCACACATGAAACATGTAACCCAATACCTTGCACAGAGAAGGTGCTCAATTCTAATGGTAAATGTGAGCATTTTTGTTAAATCGTGCTTTTGTGAATTGTTCTTACAGTGGTCATCAAATTATGTTTTGTTTCCACTTTATAATGAAATAAATGACAACACATGCATTTTACTTTTTTTTTTTTCTTCTTTTTGAAGATCTGTTGAAGTCAAAATGTCCCCAAAAATCCATGGTGGTTCTGTGGTAGAGATGCAAGGAGATGAAATGACTCGAGTCATTTGGGAACTAATTAAAGAAAAACTCATTTTCCCGTATGTGGAGTTGGACCTGCACAGGTAAATGAATAACTCTTCCTAGTGGGAAAGTCAGAAGGCATAATCTAAGGAATTTCGGAATACAGTTAGCTTGTTTATATAGATACAGCTGCATCTTGTGAAGAAAGCTTTTTTTTTTTTTTTTGGCCTAAATTTTTGGAGGTGCATCTTCTATTTTCATTTTAACAAACTGCTAGAAAAACTGAACCTATCATTATTCAGTGTCAAGAATTGTGAGGGAAACAAAGTGATTTTCAAGGTTTTCCAGGCCTCTTTCCTGTGAAGATTTTGTTTGTAATAAGTAGCACCATCAGTGGCCAAGAGAGGTACAACGTGGAATTTGTTGAAGGGAAAATAATAGAGGATGCAAGAAACAGTAAACTAAATGTAGTTAACACAATTTTGTCCTTTAAGCTCCATTTTCTGTCACTCTGTGTAAGTAGCCAATGGACCTTTTTTCCTTTTCATTCATTGTCTTTTTCCTTTTTCATACAAACAGAAAGAACCCTGGAAGTTAATTAATCCAACCCCAACCTTCCAGGAGAAGTTCCCTTAAACCATTTGTATTCTAACGTTGTATGCTTTTGCTCTGTGTTTAAAGAGCTTGGGGACAGATGGGAAAGTTGATGCATAATTCTCTCATTTTTTTCCCCTGTGTTTTTCATAAACTTGCTCATGTTCTTTGTACATTTGAACTCGGTAGAGAGATTTTTTTTCAAAGGTGAAGCGGCTGAACACTGGCATGGTAAAAAGTTGAGCAACACATTTCAGCCAAACTATTGGCAACTATGTGTTTGCCTTGACCCAGAAATATTCATCAGAATGTGTCCTGAGTATCTGTTCTTTGCTTGAGTGTAGACATTTAATTCTCCAGAAGTCACTAGACACCCTTTTTAATTGTTCTAAAGCTGAAGCTGCCAATAATGTCTGTGTTGTAACCCTGAGGAGCAAATACTTGCAGAGGTCAACCAAACATATGGGAAATGATCTTTAAGCGGATTAAGAAGCACTTTATAAATTCTCTCCTGTTTTGGAAATTTACATGGCAAAGGGTGTTCCAGAGAACTTGTAGGTTTAATAGCTGCAAAGTTGCATTGAGCTTCTTTAGCCTAGAGGCATAAGGAGTATTAAACGGCAGTTGTTTATACCTAGGGCAGCCCTGGTGGCCCATGGTTAGGCATTCAGCTGCTAGCAGCTCACATCTACCAGCCACTCCTTGGAAAAACTGTGGGGCAGGTCTACTCCGTCCTATAGGGTCCCTGTGAGTCAGAATCAACTAAGGCAATGTTTATTTGTTTTTTTAAATGCCTAAGAGGAAAAAAGTCCATGAGTACAGACCAAAGAATTTTTGGACTGCCAAACAAGTTTTAAGTTGTTCCAAAATTGCTATTTTTATTATATGATTGGTTCTTTTTGAAAGGGAGTGGAGCTGTTAGCTTGTTTTGTTGTTACATAGGCTAGACAGGGGTCCAGGCCATATATTCATTCTTTTCTCTTAGAAATGTTAAGAAGCGAACTAAAAAACCCACTAGTTTGCTAGTAGATTCTTCTGATGAGAAATGACTCCTAGGATCATGAAAACTGCTGACCTCGCTTCTCATTTGAGTTAGGATTAGACGTTTGTAGATACTCAGTATTTTCCTGTGCAGAAAGATGAGGATAAGTGACCGTGTTAGCTTTACATGAATTACCTCAGGTTGAAACGGTTTGGAAATATTTTTATTTGGGAATACGTCAAGATTTCGATCTGTGTGTTTGCATCATGAGATATTTGAGGGAAGGAATATACAAGAACTAGAAAGAGAAATCTAGAGACTTGATGGTTCAGCAGGTTTTGAAAGCATTCTTTAAAGCTTTGGAGAACAAAATAGTTACATTATTGTTTTGCTTTTTCTGCCTTTGAGAAAGTGTTAACATACTTTCAATAAAGCTTTGCAATCATTTTCTATGTTCCGTGAACGACCAACATTCTTCCCAGCTCTGCCTGACCTGCAGACTGGATGTCAGGTGTGTATGTATCTCTCTAATGTATACAAAAGCATTGGTGGATTCCATTACTGACCCAAGAAACTGCAGACTTGTTTCCAGAACAAAGAAACTTTCCCAGGAATTAGGGAAAGGTTCATTTTATGACTAACTGGCATGAATGAAGGAGTCAGCATTTTTTGCACTGGCTGTCAGATCTGCAAATCCTGCCGTGTTAATGCCAAAATATTAAAAAAATCCTTTAAGACAACCCCTCTTCTTTTTTTAAGTACATGTTTATTTAGTGAAAAACAAGGTGGTACTTAAGCTTACATTTGTATGCTAATTACAGGGAGGGAAGCCAAGGAAAAGGGTTGCTGTTATATGGTGAAAAGTAGGCAAAAGGGCAGAGTACAATGGTTTCCATTCAGTTTCCTGCTCAACAGCTGATTACAACCCAGGGAGGTGTGGCCTAGCAGTCCAGCATCTCTTAGTGTGTTTTTAGCTGGCATCTGTCTTCTGTGTTTAGAGTGCACTAATGCTGAAACTTCAGGGCAATGGTGGTTCAGTGGTATAATTCTCACCTTCCATCCTGGAGACCTAGGTTTAATTTCCCAGGTTCCATTCCGGCCAAGGAGCCCTGGTGGCGCAGTGGTTAACCATTCAGCTGCTAACCAAAAGATTGGCAGTTTGAATCTACCAGCCACTCCTTGGAAACCCTATGGGGCAGTTCTGCTCTGTCCTATAGGGTCTCTATGAGTCGGAATCGACTCGATGGCAGTGGGTTTTTTGGTTTTTATTCTGGCCAATGCACCTCACACGGAGCCACCACCCATCTGTCAGTGGAAACTTTCACGTTACTATGATGCTAAACAAGTTTCAACGGAGCTTCCAGACTATGACAGACTAGGAAGGCTGGTAATCTGCTTTCAGAACTCAGCCAACAAAACCCTATGGATCGCAGTGGTCCAATCTGCAACCGATCATGGGGATGGCATAAGATCAGGCAGCGTTTCATACCCTTGTGAATGAGGTTGCAGTGAGTTGAGGGCCAGCTCGACAGCAGCTAACAGCAGCAATGCTAACACTTAGCAAATTTAGATGTATTTGGAGCCTTCCGTTTCTGCAGAGGAAGCTCTGTATGCACCACTATGATGATAAATACAGTAATACTGTCAGTAACCTATCAATCTGTCTGAAAAGTTACACTTACAATTTTTCCCTCCCAAGCTATGATTTAGGCATAGAGAATCGTGATGCCACCAACGACCAGGTCACCAAGGATGCTGCAGAAGCTGTAAAGAAATATAACGTTGGCATCAAGTGTGCTACTATCACCCCTGATGAAAAGAGGGTTGAGGAGTTCAAGTTGAAACAAATGTGGAAATCGCCAAATGGCACCATCCGAAATATTCTGGGTGGCACTGTCTTCAGGGAAGCTATCATCTGCAAAAATATCCCCCGGCTTGTGAGTGGATGGGTAAAGCCTATCATCATAGGTCGCCATGCTTATGGTGATCAAGTAAGTCATATTGGCATAATCTAATTTTGCATATTCTTTTTCCATGGCCTTTTGGCTGCCCAGCAGTTCCAAACTGTACGTGTTTTATTCTTGTCTTCCGGTGCCTACTTCCATAAGTGAGGTGCTGAATCGAAAATGCATATATGTATATCTGTATATTTGCCTATATTTAAATATAATCAAATACAGATAAATTTAGAGATAGCCACCCATCTCAACACTTAAACATGTTTTTTTGTTCTTCCTTTTTTTTGTATTTTTGTTAGGTTGAGCCAGATGATATTTCCATTTTTTTACTGGTAATTTTATATGCTTCAGCCTAATATTTTGATCAGTGGTTCTTCACCCTGGCTGCACAATTGGGTCCCATTAGGAGGTTATTTTTTGTATTTTGTTTGTTTTGCTTTTTTTTTTTAATTCCAACGTCTGAGTCTCACCCTATGCCAGTTAAGTCTGAATTTCCGGAGGGGTTCAGGCATTTTAAAGCTCCCCAGGGATTCTAATGTGCAAATAGGGTTGAGAACCACCAAAGACTGTATTAAATATATTCATTCACTTCATGCCTAAAAGGAAAAACTGACTCAGTAATTTGAAAGCAGTCTCTTTAAAATATTCCTTCCTGCTTAGAAAAAAAACGCAGTTTCTGAATCTGCACAAGTAGGCTCATTGCCAAATTAAACAGAAAGACTGCCACTACAGGAAATCCAAATTCTGTGTTAAAACTGAGGTTTCAGACTTTCATAGAAAGCAGCCTGTTGTATTTTCAAAGAGTTTTGAAAACAGGATTCCCTACTGGTGAAATCCAGAGGCTTAGATCTAGCAGTCCTTGGAAACAATGTGGCCAGGGTCTCAGGGTCAGTTCTTGAGAGGGCCAGTTAATTTTGTTCCAGCTGGTGGCAGCCCAAACAGTTCTTTCATCCTGGCCAGTCCCTTCACAGACACTTTGCAGAGGCCCAGGCTAGGAGATGCAGATAGGAGTGGTACAAACTTGCTATTTCTGGGAGCACTGCTCTAAGCACTTATGGTTCAGTGGTGTCTTTTTTGTCCTTTTTGTTCTTTCATTTTTATTTATTTATGTATTTATTTTAACCATTTTGGCATCAGTCACTTGGAAGAATGGTCATTCTATTTATTAAAGTCCAGACTGAAAATTCCAAACATTGGGTTTATTCACTAATCGTTTAATTGTGCCTAAACCTACACAAAGTATTTATGTGCTTAGTGCCTTGGTTTCTTCTTTTGAGAAATAGGAATCAGTTACCACCCATAAGTGAAGGACTTTATGTCAGAAGTGTTCTGGGTAGAATAGGAATGTAATCTTTATTGATATCTGACAGCTCTTTTATCAACTGTCATTAGTATTACTCTACACAGATCTAAACAAATAGGTGTGGCTCGCGCCTGACTCTAATTCAACTCATCAAAGAAGATACAATGCAGCAAAGACTTGTGGATGGCTGGTGTGTGCCAGGCACATTTTCCATTACAGTAGCTCAGGCCTATGAGGAAGGAAGGTGGGCCTTTCCTTGGTCATCAACCTGTTGCAGCCGCTTCCAGAATTATTGCTTCATATAGACAAGCCCTGGACCTGGAATTAGTAGCAATAATAATCATGAAGAGACTGAGCCCTGAAGGTCTAAGTAAGGACCAGAACCCAAGTCTTTTGACCCTAAATGAATCATTTCCTCGACATCAAAGTTACATTTTCATAAGATAGATATTAGATGAGATGATTCAGGTAAATCACTTAAAGCATTTGGCATATAGTAAGGACCCAAAGCATTAACTTTGTCACCATCACCTTCAATACTACAACTACTATTGTTATCATCCCCCCCAAGAAGATTTCTCTGTCCCCCAGTCCTTGCTCATCTCTCTTCCTTTGTCATCCTATAGCAGTTTTTATCATTGCCCCCTTTTGACATTTGAAAGCTCTTAAATTGCTTCTTCTCACTTGTGTTAGGTTGTAAGCATCCTAAGGACAAGTTGTTGTTAGGTGCTGTGGAGTCGATTCCAACTCATAGTGACCCTATGTACAATAGAACGAAATGCTGCCTGGTTCTGCACCATTCTCACAATCGTTGTTAACTTGAGCCCATTGTTACAGTCACTGCGTCAATCCATCTCGTTGAGTGTCTTCCTCTTTTTCCATGACCCTCTACTTTACCAAGCATGATGTCCTTCTCCACAGACTGGTCCCTCCTGATAACATGTCCCAAGTATGTGAGACAAAGTCTCACCATCCTTGCTTCTAAGGAGCATCCTGGCTGTACTTCTTCCAAGACAGATTTGTTCATTCTTCTAGCAGTCCATGTCCTCCCCTTATCAATGCTCAGAAAGCTTCCCTGTACTTGGTAGGCACCCCATAAATATTTTTGATTTTTAATGTACTTTACTGCTAACTGAGGGAGACTGGGTACCACAAGCAGTTTGTAATTGGCTGCTAACCTAAAGATTGGCAGTTCAAACCCACCCAGTGACTCCATGGAAGAAAGGCCTGGCGAAATGCTTCCATAAAGATTACAACCAAGAAAACCCTATGGAGCAGTTCTAGTCTGTAACACATGGGGTCATCATGAGTCAGAGACCAACTCGCTGGCAGCTAACAACCACCACCAGTAACAACCACTGACTAGCTTTGGGAATTCTGGTAGACCTCTTTGTCCCTATCTATACAAGGAGAAGGCTGAGCTATACTAAACTCTTTATCAAGTTGTCTGCCAGCTCTGTGGTCTATGATTTTTTTTCCCCCTTTATAATTCCTGTTAGGTTATTTTTCTTTCCTTCTTTGTCTTATGAAATTAAATTTACTCACACTTTTTTTTTTTTTTCCCAAACAGTACAGAGCAACCGATTTTGTTGTTCCTGGACCTGGAAAAGTAGAGATAACCTACACGCCAAGTGATGGAGCCCAAAAGGTGACATACTTGGTACATGATTTTGAAGGTATGTATAATTCCATCATAAGCCACATCTTTATGTTTTTACAGATCATTTAGATGACATGATTACTGGTACTCTAAGTTAGTTTTGTGGCTGCCTGAAAGTGCACTTTGTATCTGTAACATTTCTGTAGGACCCAAAATCTAACATAAAAAAGTAATTAGCTTCCATACCTTCCATGGTATGGATAAAGGCACAAAAGGGACTTGTTGCTTAATTGGAAATGTATATAGGGAAATACAAATAGATAGTTACACATTTGTCTTAAAAAGGAGAGAAGATTGCCAGGAATCTGTTTTGCTCAAATGGTATAAATTAGATGTTAATAGCCACCCATCATGTAATCCTGCCCTTGCAGAAAATGTTTGTGTTACATATTTGCTGAAATTTTCTTCTTGCCTTTCTGAGTATTTATCCTTTGAGAGTGGAATATTTGCTTTTTGGCTTTTCTTCCCATCCATTCATTCCCCTGCTTGAAAAGGGCATTATGGCAAAACCCTCCCCAAAGTTGATGTAAGAATCAGAGGGACTTCTTTCTCCACTATCAAAGTTCTTAAAAGCACTCATGCATGCATGCGCATGCGCGCGCGCGCGCACACACACACACAGAGTTACTTAGTTTTTGTTTTCCTTGCCTCCTCCAAATAATACCATTTTAATAGAATCTAGTTCTACCAGTTTCAAGGCTTTTCACTTTTCTGAGCCCAAGTTGGCCTTGGGCAATGGTATGGATTCAACATCTGTGTTTTAGTAATAACAGAGTTCAACTAATAGTAGTTGTGAAACACCAGTGAGTACATGTAGCATAATTATTTCTGTCAATTATAGTAGGAACCTTCACTACCCTCCAGGAAATTAAGAAAATTTTCATTCAATGTTTGGAATTCAAAGTTTTCTCAGTGGCTGAGGATTGAATGCACACCTAAAGTTTAAAATACATGTTGGAAGTTTAAAAAGTATGTAAAAGATATTTTAAAAATTATTCACTCTTTCTTGAGTGTATTTCTGATTCATGTGATTAGTTTTTGATATTCAGTGTCTTCAGAATCCTAAAGACTGTATGCTTCTCTCATTTCTATTGCCCTTTCAGAACAAGTTAGAATGTTCTTATCTAGAACTGGTTTTCCTCTGGAACTCATGGAATTCCAGGTTGGAAGCCTGGCTGGAACTTTTTGAAGCCTAGGCTCAAACACGGGAGCTGGGAATTATTTGGGTTCTTTGGCGGTGGTGGGATGGCTTTAGCATTGTTATAACTATGCCCCATTTACCTTTCCCCTTTTTCCTCTCATCCATTTCCCCCACAGACGGTGGTGGTGTTGCCATGGGGATGTACAATCAAGATAAATCCATTGAAGATTTTGCACATAGTTCTTTCCAGATGGCTCTGGCTAAGGGTTGGCCTTTGTATCTGAGCACCAAAAACACTATTCTGAAGAAATATGATGGACGTTTTAAAGACATCTTTCAGGAGATATATGACAAGTAACTGATTCTTTTTTCGTTTTTTCTTTTTCCTCAAGTAAGCTGGTATTTGTGGTACAGAAACTGCATTCTTATCCGTTTGATTCTGCGACAAATCAAGTGAAAACCATCACTCATTTAAAGATGAGTACAAAACTGAGATTTAATAGGAGTGAAAAAGAATCACTATGAGTTGCTTTTAGAAGGTAAACATGCTGTCAGTGAAGGGCCCTACATTTAACTTTCCAGAGCCAGGATTGCATAGTGTTTGAATAAAGGTAACCTGCTAGTGATAGAAAGTTCTAATTTTTCAAGTATGTGAGTTACTAAGTCCGAACCATTTCCACTTTTTTATTTCCACTTTTTCTGACGCCATTGTTTTGTTATGATTTAAAACTTTGCGTTAGTGCAGTCACTTGAACTTAAATCATCTGAGTCAGGGGTGGACCCAGGAATCTGCATTTTAATAACTATCCCTGGTGAGTCTTATGAAGGTGGTCCTTGGCTCCTATTTTGAGAAATACTTTGACTAGGTGCACCAGGAAAATGCTAGTTTGATCTCTCTCCTGCTACTTTCTAGCAGACCTTGACCGAATCGCTTTTATTCTCTGGCCTCAAGTTTCTTCCTACATAAAATGCAGTGACAGATTGTGGTGGGAATTAAGTGAAAACAAATGCAAAGGTGCACACAGACAAATATGAGTTCCCCAGCTTTTGCCCTAGTTAGAAACCGATGACTTAACTACATCGCTTCCCCAAGAAATTATGTTCTAGTGCCAAACAACTAAATCATCCAAACTTTTGAAACATAGTCTATTTATAAGCTTGCAACTGTGTGATGAAACCGGTATAAGATTAACCTTATTTACAGAAAAGCAAAAAAAATTGTCCAGAATGCAATTTACTTTCTAACATTAAACACTGTCAGCATAAACACTCAGGTCATTAGTTTTGCACAGAACTCAGGCTATACACTGTTTTCCCATAACTCTAGTTTACATGGGGCAATTCTGGTTATATATCCCACCTACTCCTCTAACGGATGTATACTGTGTAGAAAACTGTGGAAAGTAGTGATTGAGACACTCCACTGCCTCACATAATTCTCACATCTTTCCTGCAGGGCAGGTGAAATTGCCTTTACAGATGGGAAGTTGGGCCTCCATAGCTAGAGAATGATAGGGAAGATGATCAGTTTGAGCCCATGACTGTCAGATTCCCAAGTTTATGCTGCTTCTACTAAAAAATGCCACTTCCTGTCCTTTTTTTTGAGCAATAGAAAACACTTCTAACAATATCAGTTTCCTTCTTTTTGTTCCCTTTTTCTCTTATATGTCTTAGGCAGTACAAATCCCAATTTGAAGCCCAAAATATCTGGTATGAACATAGGCTCATCGATGACATGGTGGCCCAAGCTATGAAATCAGAAGGTGGCTTCATCTGGGCCTGTAAGAACTATGATGGCGACGTGCAGTCGGACTCCATAGCCCAAGGTAAGAAGCCAGGAGACCACGTAGAGGTGAAGCTTGGCCTGCAGCAGGATAGGTCATTCCTTAGTAGTTCCTCCAGCTTACTTGAGGGGGCGGGGGGTGCGGTTTCAAAATAGCCCTTTGTTTGTAAAATCGTGAAATGTTGTGCTGTGAGGCATTCAGGCCCATCTTCTCATATGATAGGAAAAGAATTTAAGATCAGACTGAGGAAGTGACTTTACTCAGCCTCACGCAAGAGGTTACTGTGTAGGTTGAGACTCCTGGCTCCAGCCTTAGTTGTTAGCACAGTTTACAAAACTTAGCCTTTTTTCCCACCTGAAGTGTCAAAGCTCCCAGCAGGTTGCCCAGCTGCCTGATCTGAAAATCACTCCCTTCCCCTGCCCTTGTTTTCCCTCTGGTGAGAATGGAAAGACCAGGCAGTGGTGGATTATCCAATAGGCAAAGTAAGCACAGTGCTTACCTTGCCTATCAGTTCATCTGTAGTGAACAATTTCACATTTTTTCACCACATCAAAGATTCTGCTTCTAGGTATAGCTGTCATCTGTCTCTCTCCCAACCCCACCTTCCTATAGAATCAAAGCCTCTTTTCAAATTTGCAGTCCTTCTCAGGGGCAGATGACCCAGTAAGCAAGTTAAGTACTGGCTTACTTAATAATAGGTAGTGGACAATTTCACACGAGTTTTGCCACATCAAAGAATGTGAAATTGTTCACTACAAATGATCTGGTAAGCAAGGTAAACATGGTGCTTACCTTGCTTATTAGATAATCTGCCCCTGAGACCACTGTATCCTGGACTCCCAGGCAAGGAGCGGTAAAGTGAGGGGCCTGGATTGTCCAGTAACCAAGGGGGCTTTCTCCAGGAGCTCGTTCATTTGGCAGTAGGTACTAATTGCACCCATCTGCAAACCTTGAAGTTGTTCTAGTACTTTATAAAACAAATGTGTTTTTACTGCTTAGCTTTAAACACAAAGGAGTCAAAAAAGAAGCCCAGAACTGTTCACAGAAATTCCAGGAACCAAGAGCTTCATACTAGGGATAAGGGTTAAACCAACAGAAACTTCTTCTCTTGATTTCCTCAGAACCAAGTTACCCTTCATTTTCAGTTACCCCTGGTAGCTGTGTAAACTCAAATCTCCCCAGATGAATGTGTGTCTTAACGCTGATTATGTTTGCTTTTCACCAGGAAGTACTTCTTTTTCTTTCTGTTATGAAAATTAAGCACCTCCTGTCAGTTTGAAAATTAGTAGGCCAACCCAGTAAATATAACTTTGATGTCAGATAAATGAGTTACACATTCCCTTTACCCTCATTCTGTTCCTCCTAATCCTCACAATTGTTTGTAGTGTGTGCAATAGAGAAAGGAATGTTGCTTTGTGATGGCTCCATAGTGGATGAGGAACATCATTGCTTGTAATCAGAGCTCTTGGAAAGGGATCCAGAATCATCCCATTGTTTCTAAACGTCCTCATGGCAACAAGAAGAGAGTATCTGAAGGAATATTTCAAATGCAGATCTTGAGTTACAGAGGTTAAAAGCACTTTGAAATAGCAGTTCTGTAGTGTAGTGTCCAGTAGTGCCCTGAGAAGAGACCTGAAACCAAGGCTGTGTGACTGTAGAGAGCCTGTAGATGAATGTGGCTCAAGGCAGCGAAACGGATTAAAAGGCAGCAGGACTGTCTATGTTCACTCTGCTCTGGAGGCATGAACTACTTTGGACTCACACCAAACATTTATTTTCTCAGTTCTGACAATGTTAGCGACTAGTGTCTTCTAATATTAACAGATGGACACTATGGGCATAGTTCTGAAGTTCTCCAATCAATATTTATTTTGAGTGTTTACTGAAGCCTCAGACCAACACAGTGGTATACGGAGCTACTAATTCCACACAGAAATTTTTAACTGCCCAAATATGAGTAAATAAATAAAATTATTGTTAATCCACTTCTTTAAAGACGGTAGAGATGACTTATTCAGCGTCATCACCAAGTAGCTGATTTGTTCTACTAAGCATAGCCATTTTAATGTGCTTCTTGAAATATATATAATGTATGCTCTTCTATTTTGTGGGAGAAGATTTTTTTCAGAAAAGAGTGTTACTAATAAGCATTTTCCTTTTTCTCTGGTGCAGTGAAATATCACATAGCTAAAAAAGTAGCAGTCTACTCTAAAGTTACATTAATAACTCTACAGGTGCTATTGGGAGGTAGCAAAAATGGAAAAAAAGGTTCTGCAAAGTCAAGTGTAAAATCGTGAATAAAGAAGAAAAATCAATTGTGTGAATTTAAAAGTTGTAAGGTGGTCTCTTAATAGGAAATCACAGAATAGAATTGTTTTGTTGGGCATGTTAAAGAGAATAAGGAAGGGCAAGTGGGATGTTCTTCAACCCATATCATTCTGTTTTTACCTGCCTTTTCTTTCTAATGAGTCTGAGCAGCTTGAGAGCAGGAGACAACTCTTATTAATCTTTATTTCCCCCAAACAGCAGAGCATCAGCACTTGAAGATAGAAATAATATATTGAGCTCTCTCTGTAGCAGGTAATATTCTAAGGAATATGCGTATATTATTCATGAACATATACATATTTGTTTAATTCTCACAACAGCCCAGTGAGATTATTGCTTTTATTACCCTCATTTTACAGATAAGAAAACAGGCACAGCAACTTCCAGTCAGAGAGCTAGGGTGGAATGTAGGCAATCAGACCCCAACCTCTCCATAAGGGAGCAGGTGCCTCTGAGATCGTGGAGACAACATACAGCTTTTTCAGACCCTTCACTTCTGAGATCCGAAATGGTGACACTGCTTTCAGAAAAGCAGAAGAATTAGGGACAACTCCATGTGTCCATGTTCATTTTGTTTACTAAGACCGGTCATTTTTGCTCATCTCTGAGAGACCCAGTGTTCTTCATGCAGTTGAACCCAATACTTCATGCTCTGCCACCTACAGGTTATGGCTCCCTTGGTTTGATGACCAGTGTGCTGATCTGTCCAGATGGCAAGACAGTAGAAGCGGAGGCTGCTCATGGGACTGTCACTCGTCACTACCGCCTGTACCAACAAGGACGGGAGACATCCACCAATCCCATTGGTAAGAGGCTATTGACATCTACACTGATTTCTGATTGGAGGCTAGCGATCTCCAAAGGGACTCTGATGGGTTCCTGTGGCTGCTAAGTGCCTGTGTACAAAGTTATCACCAAGTAGCTGATTTGTTCTACTAAGAATAGCCATTCTAATGTGCTTCTTTAAATACATATAATATATGCTCGTCTATTTTGTTGGAGAAGATTCTTTACAGAGAAGAATGTGACTAATAAGCATTGTCCCTTTCCTCTGGTGCAGTGAAATACACATAGCACATAGGCTAAGAATTAAAAGCCACGTAGACCCCCCAACAGGTTTTCAAGGACAGCACTTTAAAAAGAGATCACAGCCCGGAAAGAGGAGGACAGTACAGACAAGAGATAGAAGAGATTGTGACCTTTTCCAAATTAGAAAATGCCTTAAGCTTCAAGCATTAGTACTACACGCATGAAAATGTACTTTCTTTTTTTTTTTTTAATTGTACTTCAGGTGAAGGCTTACAGAACAAATAGTTTCTCATGAAGCAGTAGTACACATATTGTTCTATGACTTTGGTTAACAACCCCACATGTCAACCCTTTCCCTTCTCCACCTTTTTTTTTTTTTTTGGTGAAAATATACATAGCCAAGGATACACCATTTCAAAAATTTCTACCTGCACAGTTCAGTGACATCGACTACGCTGTTCCAATTGTGCTGCTATTCTCACTTTAGATCAAGGCTTACAGAACAAAATAGTTTCTCATTTAACAGTTAGTACACATGTTGCCCTATGACAATGGTTAACAACCTCACAACACGTCAGCACTATCCTTCCTCAACCTTGGGTTCCCTATTACCAGCTCTCCCGTCCTCCTCTGCCTTCTAGCCCTTGTCCCTGGACTGCTGCGCCTCAGTAGTCCCACTTGGCTTTATGGGGCCGTCTACTCCCCGGCTGAACGGTGAACCTCAGAAATGACCCCACCACTGAGCTAAAAGGGTGTCTGGGGGCCATACTCTCGGGGTTTCTCAAGTCTCCTTTAGGCCAGTAAATCTGGTCTCTTTTTTGTGAGTTAGAATTTTGTTCTACATCCTTCTCCAGCTCTGTCCAGAACCCTCTGTTGTGATCCCGGTCAGAGCAGTCAGTGGTGGTAGCCAGGCACCATCTAGCTGTACTGAACTCAGTCTGGTAGAGGCCTTGGTAGCTGTGGTCCATTAGTCCTTCAGACTAATCTTTTCCTTGTATCCTGTTCTTTTCATTCTCCCTTGCTCCCAAAGGGATGAGACCAGTGAAGTATCTTAGATGGCTGCTCACAGGCTTTTAAGACCCCAGACGCCAGTTACCAAGGTAGAATGTAGAACATTGTCTTTATGAAAATATACTTTCTTAAAGCTCTAGCAAAACCCAGGTTTTTTTTCTTTCTTTCTAAAAAATGCAGATTATTCAAAGTTTTCATTTGGTAAAATATTTCCAGTGCTCCTAAAACTAACAGCACATGTGGATAGCATCTAATGACGTCCATCACCTAAACAAAAACCTATTCTATTTTTGTAAACGGTGAAACATTTGAGACTTTCTATGACTGGTATGATTGAGATGTACTTGTTTTTTTTCCTTCTCTCTTTTAGCTTCCATTTTTGCCTGGACCAGAGGGTTAGCCCATAGAGCTAAGCTTGATAACAACAAAGAGCTCAGTTTCTTTGCACAGGCTTTGGAAGAAGTCTGTATTGAGACCATTGAGGCTGGCTTCCTCACCAAGGACTTGGCTGCTTGCATTAAAGGTTTACCCAAGTAAGTATAAGCTGCCCTAAACTGTATAGTCAAATCACAGCTGATCCTCAATGGGCTGAAAAATCCGTGTTTTTTGAACTATGTTAGTTGTTAATCGTCATCTATTTCGGGGATCAGCAAATACTATCTGTAAATAGTCAGATAGTGAATATCTTAGGCTGTGGTCTCTGTCGAAACTATTCAACTCTGCCTCTACCATTGAAGCAGAAAAGGAGTCATAGACAATCCATAAATGAATAAGTGTGGCAGTCTTCCAATAAAACTTCACGCACAAAGCCAGGGTACAGGCCAGATTTAGCCCACACCGTAGTTTGCTGACCCTTGATTTGCTTGATAATCATTGGATGACAAGGTTCTGAAAATAATAGACGATTAGAAACAAAGGAACCACTGGAGGAACCCCAAAACTATGGCCCTGGAACACTCTTCTAACCCAGAACTGAAAACATTCCTGAAGCCTACTTTTCAGACAAAGATTAGACAGACCTATATAACGAAGAATAACACACGTGAGGAACGAGCTTTTTGATTCAATTAAATATACAAGACCAAATGGGCAACTCCTGTCCAGAAGTAGGACAAGAAGGCAGGAAGGGACAGGAACTGGACAAATGGACACAGAGAACCTGAGATGGAAAGGGGTAGCATGCTGTCATGTTGTGGGGATTGCAACCAATGTCACAAAACAATATGTATACAAATCTTTGAATGAGAAATTAACTTGGGCTGTAAACATTCACCTAAAGCACAATTTAAAAAAAAAGAAACAAAGGCACCTCAGAGGCTATTTTATTCCACCTCTTTATTTAAAAGTAAGCAACACAAGTAGAAGGTGTCCATCTGCCAGTGGTCCCTTAAGTATCTGTAACCATCAGTCAAATATTGCACAGGATTTTTCTGAAAACTTGGTAGCCAATGTCCCAGTGCTAATCAGAAACTTCCCCCCAAAGTCAGAGTGAGTTACTGTGGTTCACCTCAAGAAACACTAAAATTTAACACAAGTCCCATATCCCAACTTGTGTGTCCTCAGAGATCTGTTAGGGTCAGTATACACCAGTAACAGGAATAAACTCAGTCAGTCCATCTTTTTTATCTTAAATTTGCAGGAAGAATACAACATTTGAAACGTCCATATCAATATGATACCTTTGCACTCTATTTGACTAGGCGCCTAACAGTAGGATTATGCCAGTCCATTGTCTTTGGTTTTTCTTAAGACACTGGTAGAAATAAGAGCATTAAATTGTTTTTTAAGGACAAGTGACAGTTTGTGGAAATGTGGGTGAAGGTGTGGTTGTACCTCGAAAAGGCTTTATAATTTTTAAGAAGGGGAAACAAGAAGTAGGATGATTTCCATATCCCAGGCATTAGTCAAAACTGAAGCTTCTGTGATAGTTTTGCCCTCAAAGCTATGTGGGAAGAAACCTAGTGTGGATGTGCCTGTGAATGAGCTTCCACCACAGGCTATTGTAAAATCTGAGTCATCAGACTGGATCAGCCTTGAACCTTGAGTACCACAGTCTGTAGATTTATAGCTTATTAACCTTAGCGGAGGAACCCTGGTGGCACAGTAGTTAAGCGCTTGGCTGCTAAACCAAAATGTTGGCAGTTTGAACCCACCAGCACTCTGTGGGAGAAAGATGTAGCAATCTGCTGCCATGAAGATTACAGCCTCGGAAACCCTATGGGGCAGTTCTGCTCTGTCGTAGGGTCGCTATGAGTCAGAATGGACTCGACAGCAATGGATTTTTTGGTTTCAGCCTTAATCATTTATCTTCCAGTAATAAATATAATGCTACATTAATAACATTTCTAGGACTTTTCCTCTACCTGCTACTAGATCAAAGACAAACTGAAATTCCTTTATTCTCTCTCTCTCTTCTATTAGCGTGCAACGATCTGACTACTTGAATACCTTTGAGTTCATGGACAAACTCGAAGAAAACTTGAAGATAAAGTTAGCTCACGTCAAACTTTAAGATTATACCTTATCTTAGGAGCCTAAGGGTTTTTTATTTTTTTTTGTAACTAGGTCCATTGGTTTACATTTTTCTGTATAGCGCTCAAAGGTAAAAACAAAATCAATTTTGTAATTTGTTTAGAAACCAGAAATTATCTTTTCTATACATTTACAGTTTTTTCTTCTTATACCTACAGTTACTGCCACCTTCATGAACTTGGCAGGAGACTTTGTTTTACAGGCAGTCCCCACGTTATGAACGTCCAATTTACGTACAACCCGTAGTTACGAACCAACCCCCATAAAGCCTATTATATTAAAAATTCGAGGTATATACAGTGATTCATAATAACCAACAATGTGTATCAAAACATTATTATCACTGTATTATGTTAAAGATGTTTTCATGTATCTGGATGTGTTTCTTTAATGTTTTTTATGCATAGCGAGGTACACTATATACTAAGATAAACATTTGACTGACATTAGATACGAATCATACTTAACTGTTTCGACTTCCGTACAAATTTGACTTAAAAGACAGAGTTAGGAACTGATCTCGTTCCATAATCCAGGGTCTGCCTGTACTTTATTTTCTAGTAGCAGCCTAGGAATTACTTTAGTACTCATTGTACTTACTGTCACTTTTTCTCATGTTCAGAAATAAATGACCAAAATCAAGAGTGCTTGAAAGGGTAAACTAGAGCCACACTATTGTTCTCTTCTAAATTTACTCTCCTCCCCGCATCCATGGCCTGGGGCACTGGGTGGTTTTGGTGATACTGATGCCCTATTTTGTGAGATGGAGCTGTACATTGAACTTGTGTGTGATGTGGGACAAAGAACATGAGTGTAACTAAAATGTTCGGCAGTCATTTTTGGAAAGAACTTTGTTGAATGTTTTGAAGATGCTGAATACTTTTGAGGACACAGGAGAGTTTGGAATGCAGAATAAATACTACCTGGAGATTTGTCCTCTGTCCTGTCTCGCCTCGTCTTGTGTGGCCTGAGTATTATGCTGCCCTAAATACATTTTTCATCCAAGTGCAATAATACAAGCTGCATCTTTTTTGGACTTCTGCTGGCTTGTTTTCTTTCTTTTATATAAATGTGATTTTTCAGAAGTTAATGTTCAACACTATTCTAGTCATGTTCCTCTCCTGAACTGTTAATTTTAAATAATATTAAATGCTAATGACTATTCTGAGTCTTGTTGTTTTTTTTTTTAATTTCTTGAGTGCACTTTAGATGCTAGGCACTATGCTAGGTCCTAGCCAATGAGTTTCACTTTAAAAAGTCTCTGCCCTAAAGAAGTTTACTGTGAGGGAATGGATAGGTAAACCGACTTAAGACGTGGACCACAATGAAAGTGAAAGAAGACCAAAGTTAGAACTAAAGGAGTATTATTAGAGAATATGCACATGCTAAGGAGTTTAGACATTACCCTATCAGTTAATGGGGGGCTAATGAAGGCTTTTAAGGAAGGGGAGACATGATCATGTTTGCGTTTTAAAAATAGTACAGTGGCAGTAAAGAATGGATGAGGGAGGTGGGCGTTCCGAGGAAGGCAGACCAGTTAGGAGGCTGTTGCAGTACTTCAGGTGGGAAGTGTGAAGATCTGAACTAGACAATGGTACTGAGAATGGAGAGAACAGGATGGATCCTTGAGGTAAATAAGGAAGTTGATGGGTTTGGTGGGGCCAGTGAGCTGTGCGGGTTGAGGGAGAACAAGTCAGAGAAGTTTCCTACATTTCTGACTTCACAGTGGTGTCTCCACACCAGGAGAAAGGCTAGTCCGCATCCCAGAAGCTTTGGGAGGGAGGCTCTGGTGAACTTTTGCACTTTCACATTGCAAAGGTCAGTGAAGAGGGGTGGGCTATTCCTAATCTCCTGGCAGGCTTGAGGTCAGTCCCGAGATACTGTCTCAATGCAAGTCCCCTTGAAAGCCAAAAGAAACATTGGTCTTTTTAGAATCATATGGGATGAAGCTGATGTGGGGTGAAATTTTGACCCATTTGCCTCAGTATCACCCTCTAGAAACACCCCAATCCAAGGCCACAGGCCTACACCGGCCCTCTGACTGGAGACCCTCATGAAGTGGAGGAGACCCCCATGGCTTGGGCAGTTCATCCCTGACTGAACTGGAGTTAGAATCGAGACCACATGAGCTCTCCTAGAAGGATAAAAACAAAATCAGTTTTCACATGAGGTCATCCGGATCACTTACCAAAACCAAACCCATTGTCATCGAGTCAATTCCAACTCATAAAAGCAACCCTATAGGACAGAGTAGAACTGCCTCCATAGGGTTTCCAGGGAGCAGCTGGTGGATTCGAACTGCCCACCTTTTGGTTAGCAGCAGAGCACTTAACCACTGTGCCACCAGGGCTCCCAGATGACTCAGGCAGTAGGGAAAAAAAACATTGCTTCTAACTCAAACAAAAGCTCCTGTTAAGAAAATAAGAAAAAAAAGACTTTTTTTTCACCAAACTTTATTTTCTTCCTATTGTGGTAAATATATATATATACATATATATTGTTAGGTGTCATCAAGTTGGTTCTGACTCATAGTGACCCGATGCACCACAGAACGAAACACTGCCCTGTTCTGCACCATACTCACAATCGTTATGCTTGAGCCCATTGTGGCAGCCACTGTGTCAATCCATCTCATAGAGGGTCTTCCTCTTTTTCGCTGACCTTGTACCTTACCAAGCATGATGTCCTTCTCCAGGGACTGATCCCTCCTGACAACATGTCCAAAGTATGTAAGACGTAGTCTCGCCATCCCTCGTAAGTAGCATTCTGGTTGAACGTCTTGCAAGACAGATTTGTTTGTTCTTTTGGCAGTCCATGGTATATTCGGTATTCTTCACCAACACCACAACTCAAAGACGTCAATTCTTCTTCGGTCTTCCTTATTCATTGTCCAGCTTTCACATGCATATGATGCGATCGAAAATACCATGGCTTGGGTCAGGCACACCTTAGTCTTCAAGGTGACATCTTTGCTCTTCAACACTTTAAAGAGGTCTTTTGCAGCAGATTTGTACAATACAATGTGTCTTGATTTCCTGACTGCTCCTTCCATGGGTGTTGATTGTGGATCCAAGTAAAATGAAATCCTTGACAACTTCAATCTTTTCTCTGTTTATCATGATGTTGCTTATTGGTCCACTTGTGAGGATTTTTGTTTTCTTTATGTTGAGGTGTAATCCATACTGAAGGCTGTGGTCTTTGATCTTCACCAGTAAGTGCTTCAAGTACTCTTCACTTTCAGCAAGCAAGGTTGTTTCATCTGCATACAACAGGTCATTAACGACTCTTCTTCCAATCCTGATGCCCCTTTCTTCTTCATATAGTCCAGCTTCTCGGATTATTTGCTCAGCATACAGATATGAATAGGTATCGTGAAAGGATGCAACCCTGACATACACCTTTCCTGACTTTAAACCACGCAGTATCCCCTTGTTTAGTCCAAACAACTGCCTCTTGATCTGTGTACAGATTCCTCATGAGCACGATTAAGTCTTCTGGAATTCCTGTTCTTTGCAATGTTATCCATAATTTGTTATGATCCACACAATCGAATGCCTTTGCATAGTCAATAAAACACAGGTAAGCATCTTTCTGTATTCTCCGCTTTCAGCCAGGATCCATCTGACATCAGCAATGTTATCCCTGGTTCCACATCCTCTTCTAAATCCGGCCTGAATTTCTGGGTGTTCCCTGTCGACATACTGCCACAGCCACTTTTGAACGATCTTCAGCAAAATTTTACTTCATGTGATATTAATGATATTGTTTGATAATTTCCACATTCAGTTGGATCACCTTTCTTGGGAAAGGCATACATATGGATCTATTCCAGTCAGTTGGCCAGGTAGCTGTCTTCCAAATTTCTTGGCATAGATGAGTGAGCACTTCCAGCACTGCATCTATTTGTTGAAACATCTCAATTGATATTCTGTCAATTCCTGGAGCCTTGTTTTTTGCCAGTGCCTTCAGTGCAGCTTGGACTTCTTCCTTCAGTACCATTGCTTCCTGACCATATGCTACCTCCTGAAATGGTTGAACATCGACCAATTCTTTTTGGTATAATGACTCTGTATATTCCTTCCATCTTCTTTTGATGCTTCCTGCATCGAAAATGAAATGCCGAGCATGTTCTTACCTTTTGGTTTTCTATCTCCAGCTCTTTGCACGTCATTATCATACTTTACTTTGTCTTCTCAAGCCGCCCTTTGAAATCTTCTGTTCAGTTCTTTTACCTCATCATTTCTTCCTTTTGCTTTAGCCCCTCAACATTCAAGAGCAAGTTTCAGAGTCTCTTCTGACATTGTTTTGGTTTTTTTCTTTCTTTCCTGTCTTTTTAATGGCCTCTTGCTTTCTTTATGTATGATGTCCTTGATGTCGTTCCACAACTCGTCTGGTCTTTGGTCATTAGCGTTCAATGTGTCAAATCTATTCTTGAAATGGTCTCTAAATTCAGGTGGGATGTACTCAAGGTGGTACTTCGGCTCTTGTGGACTTGTTCTAATTTTCTTCAGTTTCAACTTGAACTTGCATAGGAGCAATTGATGGTCTATTCTATAGTCAGCCCCTGGCCTTGTTCTGACTGATGATATTGAGCTTTTCCATCGTCTCTTTCCACAGATATAGTCAATTTGATTCCTGTGTATTCTATCTGGCGAGGTCCATGTGTATAGTCGCCATTTATGTTGGTGAAAAAAGGTATTTGTAATGAAGAAGTCATTGGTCTTGCAAAATTTGATCATGCAATCTCTGGCATCGTTTCTATCACCAAGGCCATATTTTCCAACTACCGATCCTTCTTTGTTTCTAACTTTCACATTCCAATCACCAGTAATTATCAATGCATCCTGACTGCATGTTTGATCAATTTCAGACTGAAGAGGTTGGTAAAAATCTTCAATTTCTTCTTCTTTGGCCTTAGTGGTCGGTGCGTAAATTTGAATAATAGTCATATTAACTGGTCTTCCTTGTAGGTGTATGGATATTATCCTATCACTGACAGCGTTGTACTTCAGGATAGATCTTGAAATGCTCTTTTTGACAATGAATGCAATGCCATTCCTCTTCAAGTTGTCATTCCCAGCATAGTAGACCATATGGTTTTCCAATTCAAAATGGCCAGTACCAGTCCATTTTAGCTCACTAACGCCTAGCAGATTGATGTTTATGCATTCTATTTTATTTTTGACGATTTCCAATTTTCCTAGATTCATACTTCGTACATTCCACGTTCCGATTATTAATGGATTTTTGCAGCTGTTTCTTTTCATTTTGAGTTGTGCCACATTAGCAAATGAAGGTCCTGAAAGCTTGACTCCATCCAGTTCATTAAGGTCGACTCGACTTTGAGGCGGCAGCTCTTCCCAAATTGCCTTTTGAGTGCCCTCCAACCTAGGGGACTCATCTTTTGGCACTATATCAGACAATGTTCCGCTGCTATTCACAAGGTTTTCACTGGCTAATTCTTTTCAGGAGTAGACTGCCAGGTCCTTCTTCCTAGTCTGTCTTAGTCTGGGAGCTCAGCTGAAGCCTGTCTGCCATGGGTGACCCTACTGGTATCTGAATACCGGTGGCATAGCTCCCAGCATCACAGCAACACACAAGCCCCCACAGTATGACAAACTGACAGACACATGGGGGATACATATATATGTGTGTGTATATATTTACCATTTCAACATTTTTTACATATACAATTCAGTAACATTATATTCATCATGTTTTGCAACCATCACCATTATCCGTTTCCAAGTTTTTCCATCACTCTTAGCAGAAGCTCGATGTCCTCCTAAGCAGCATTTTCATTTCTTACAAGAGAACTTTAAGATATTTTAATAAAAGATCATATACCTCACATAATCTATAGACCATGAAAGGAATATTGTTGTTGCTGTGTGCCATCAAGTGGATTCCCTATATGACAGAGTAGAACTGCCCCACAGGGTTTCTTTCCTAGGCTGTAATCTTTACAGGAACAGATCACCAGGTCTTTTCTCCCATGGAGTGGCTTGTGGGTTTGAACCTCCAACCTTTTGGTTAGCAGCTGAGAGCTTAAACATTTCACCACCAGGACTCCTTATGAAAGGAATAGGGATCTACAAAAGTTAGGAGAATAGAAGAAAGTATCACAATATTATGTTTCTTAGCTTTAGGGCCTTTGTGAATTGGCATGTTTATTTTTCAACCAATCTTTGTCTCAATATAAAGACATGCCAACAACTCATTCTAAATGAATGCCAGTAAGGCTGTTTTTAAAAAAAATAGGAAAGATTGACTGTGGAGGTCCTTGAATGCTAAGGACTTTGGACATAAGACAGAGTATCATCTTTAAATGTAAGCATAAACGCTTGTGAAATATTTTGCTCAAGATAAGCTTTTTATGAAGGGTAATCATTTGTTGCTGAGGAACCCTGGTGACAAAATGGTAAAGAGTTTGGCAGCTAACGAAAAGGTCGGCAGTTCGAATCTACCAGCTGCTCCTTGGAAACCCTGTGGGGC